GTCTTTGAGCGAAATTTGCAAATACTAAGTAAGGGGCTTTGAATGAAATTAACAACAAAATAGAAGTATACCCTTTCTCTGTAGAAAAAGTGCAATACGGAAGAAAATGTGACATGTAGAGGTACAAGAAGGTACTTTTTTACACAGGATGTGCTGTGGTTAACTTCAAAGGTTGTAGTAAAGTGCAGAGTCTGCATGTACAAGAAGGTACTTTCCATCAAAAGGTCAAGGGAGAGGGGCTGGAAAGAGAGTACTTTCCATGACAAAAAAAAATTGTTCTTGTTTACTTGAGGTTATATATTTGGTGGTCAAAAGCCAAGACGGGACGGCAGTCACTTGAAGGGTAACATCTGCGCATGCTACCAGGCTGTCCGTCTTCTTCATGAAGAAATTAAAATAAACCTTGTTTTTTGATCTCTTTTGGGACAGTCTCCTTCCTTATGTGTTCCCGTGACTGCGTGGACCTAAGAAGACCCAATTTAGGGTCTCTAACAAACATGCTGCAAATTGCTTCTGGAGTGAGAGAATCAGCTGTCTACGAAGATGTTGCCCAGGGGACGCCTGGATGTCTTGCAATCCTGTGAGGAGGCTTCTCTCATTGGCACCACGAGATGCAGAGCCAATCTTAAGAAATGAGGCTACAAAGTGGTATCCACAACAAAGTGGAATCCACAACATGCGAGTGTGGAGAAGAGCAAACCACTGACCACCTGCTGCAATGCAACCTGAGCCCTGCTACATGCACAATGGAGGACCTTCTTGCAGCAACACCAGAGGCACTCCAAGTGGCCAGATACTGGTCAAAGGACATTTAATCAACTACCAAGCTTGCAAACTTTGTGTTTTGTCTGTTTGTTTGTTTTTGCTAAAAAATGTAATAAAACTGTTTGGTTGCCCCTGACAGAATAAAAACAAAAACAAAAAACCTCTCAACAAAAGATTGCCCCAAGCACTGCCAGGCCATCAAATCAGATCTAATTTGCCAAATAGTCACTGTTGAATGTTTTTATGTTGAATGTTTTATATTGTGTAAATGCTATTTTAGATTGTAAGTTGCTCGGAGCACCTTGGTGGAGAGCGACTAATTAAGAAATAAAGTGAAGTAATCAAGGTAGTCAGTTGAAACATTCACACCTAGCTCCAACAGACAAGAGTTCTTTGTCCCACCCTGGTCATTCCACAGATATATACTGGTAGCCAGATTTTGTTCATTTTCATGGTTTCCTCCTTTCTATTGAAATTGTCCTCATGCTTGTGGATTTCAATGTCTTCTCTGTGTAGTCTGACATGGTGGTTGTTGGAGTGGTCCAGCATTTCTGTGTTCTCAAATAATATGCTGTGTCCAGGTTGGTTCATCAGGTGCTCTGCTATGGCTGACTTCTCTGGTTGAAGTAGTCTGCAGTGCCTTTCATGTTCCTTGATGCGTGTCTGGGCGCTGCGTTTGGTGGTCCCTATGTAGACTTGTCCACAGCTGCATGGTATACGGTAGACTCCTGCAGAGATGAGAGGATCCCTCTTGTCCTTTGCTGAATAGCATTTGTTGGATTTTCTTGGTGGGTCTGTAGATAGTTTGTATGTTGTGTTTCCTCATCAGCTTCCCTATGCTGGTCAGTGTTCCCTTGATGTATGGCAGGAACACTTTTCCTCTGGGTGGATCTTCATCTTTACTCTTTAGTATTGCTTAGGTAGAAATAAAGTACCACAAACCACCATGTCAGACTACACAGAGAAGCCATTGAAATCCACAAGCATGTGGACAATTTCAACAGAAAGGAGGAAACCATGAAAATGAACAAAATCTGGCTACCAGTATTTAAAAACTCTAAAATTACAACAGCAAAACAACAGAGGGAAACAATCAGGCACATCTAATCACCTCTCAACAAAAGATCCCCCCAGGCGCTTCCAGGCCATTGAATGCAAATCAAGGTGATCAGCTGAAACATTACCCTTGTCATTCCACAGATATATAAACCCATTTTTCCTACTTCCAACAGACCTCACTACCTCTGAGGATGCTTGCCATAGATGCAGGTGAAATGTTAGGAGAAAAATTGCTTCCAGAACATGGCCATATAGCCTGGAAAAACCTACAACCCAGTGAAAGCCTTCGACAATGCATAAAGGAATTACATATATTAGAAACCAACACTTTCTCATTACTTTTTTTTTATAATAGTTTAAATGATGACCAGAAATTACAAGGGATGAAAATTCAGAATCAACAATATAAACTTAAAGCTTACGCAGATGATGTTGTATGCATTGTGGAAGACCCCCTAACAAATATAAATGATTGGTTAGAAAAAATTCAAAGATTTGGGAATTTAGCTGGTTTCAAAATTAACAAGCAAAAGACCAAGATGATAGTCAAAAACATGGATAGGGAATCAAAAGAACTACTTCAGGAGAAATCAGGCCTTAAAATAGAAAACAAGGTGAAATATTTAGGGGTGATTATAACCCCAAACAATATAAATCTATTAAAAAGCAATTATGAGACACTCTGGAAAGGCATACAAAAAGATTTAGAAAGGTGGAAACATCAAAACCTCTCTCTGTTAGGCAGAATAGCAACAATCAAGATGGACATCCTGCCCAAACTCCTCTTTCTTTTCCAAGCTTTACCAATTATTAGGAATGATTACATGTTCAAAAAATGGAACTCAGATTTAATTAAATTTATATGGAAAAATAAAAAAGCAAGAATTAGCTTTAAAATACTCACAGACGAAAGAAAAAGGGGAGGATTAGGCCTCCCAGATCTCAAATTATACTACGAAGCCTGTAATTTATTAGCAATAAAAGATTGGTCAACCCTGAAAAATGAAAAATTACTAACATTGGAAGGTTTCGATCTGAAATTTGGTTGGCACGGGTACTTATGGTACGACAAGAGAAAGGTAGAATTTTTTTTTAATAACCATTACATAAGGGCAGCCCTAATTAAAACCTGGGAGAAATACAGGCAAAGACTATTTACTAAAATTCCAATGTGGATCTCGCCAATTGAAGCGAGACATAAGAGAGAATTAGGGAAAGACAATTGGCTGACATATAAACAAATCCTAAAAACAACGGACGAGAAACAATTAACTATAAAACCGATTGAGGAGATCAAACAGCTAAACCCCAAATTCACATGGATGCAATATCACCAATTATACCGCTGCTTCAAAGATGATGAGAAGCAAGGATTTGGCCAGGAACAAAATATCTGGGACATAGTAATGCAGAAGGAGAAGAAATTAATTAGAATAATATACAAGCAACTATTGGGTGGGCAACGGAAGAAGAGCAAGTTAAAGATTGTCAGATAAAATGGGCAAAAGACTTGGGTCACAACATTCTCACAAAACAATGGGAGGAAGTATGGAACACCAAACTAAAATACACGGTAGCCTCAGATCTAAAAGAAAACTGGCACAAAATGTTTTTCAGGTGGCATTACTCACCAGAAAAAAATTGCAATGTTCAATAAATCAACATCGAATAAATGTTGGAAGTGCCAAAAAGAAATAGGGACATTCTACCACCAATGGTGGGGATGCAAAAAAATTAAAAGATACTGGAGAGATACATTTGGCTTCACAAAAAATACTAAAAACAAATTTCCCACAGCTCCCAGAAATGTACCTATTAGGCATATCCTACCCCAAATTCAACAAAAATCAAGAAAAAATCTTCTTCCTGATGAGTACAGCAGCCAGAATCCAATTAGCCAAAATGTGGAAACAGAAAGAAATCCCGACAATAGAAGATTGGATTATAAAAATATTGGACATAATACAAATGGACTGTTTGTCCCAGCACTTAAACAACTCAACGAAAAAGACAAACTGGGAGGGTTTCAGAGACTTCATCAAGGGGAAAAAATGACTATGGTAATAGATATATCCAGCATCTGAAGGAGACCAACAGATGGAGACAACGTCGGAAAAAGGAAAGAAACAAGAATGTGAATCATACCAGAAGGGAAAGATTCTCTTTGAAGACTTTGGGAAGTCCTTCACGGGGGGGGGGGGGGGGGGGGGGGGGGGGAGAATGGCACAGGGATATAATACAGGGTTAGTCAAAATGAATAGGCCAATAAGAAAATTAATTTTAGACGAATGTATGTTTACTGTAACCAAACCACAGCTACGTAGCGACAGATAAACTATCAAAGTTTTTTTTGAGCAACACACATGTACGTTAATGCCGCTAGGCGTCGCTAGGGGTCGCTGTTTTCAAAATGGCGGAATCAAGCAAAGAGAAGGCGTTTTGTGTGATGACATTTGCTAAAACAATGTCAGTAATTACGGTCCAGCGAGAATTTCAAGGGTTAGGGTTAGGGATAGGGTTAGGGATAGGGTTAGGGTTAGGGTTAGGGTTAGGGTTAGGGAGGGTTAGGGTTAGGGATAGGGTTAGGGATAGGGTTAGGGTTAGGGTTAGGGTTAGGGTTAGGGATAGGGTTAGGGTTAGGGTTAGGGTTAGGACCTCAACGAACACCTTCCCAGACGTTGCTGCATTCGATGCCATTACGTCGGATGTGCTGCAACGGATGTGGAATGAACTGGACTATCGCTTGGACATCTGCCGTGTCACACGGGGCGCCCATATCGAACATCTCTGAAGGTGAGACAAAACTTTGATAGTTTATCTGTCGCTACGTAGCTGTAGTTTGGTTACAATAAACATACATTCGTCTAAAATTAATTTTCTTATTGGCCTATTCATTTTGACTAACCCTGTATGTTTTTTTTAACTCATGTATCACGGAAAAATTGCACAATAAAAACTATTATATTAAAAAAAAACAATTTCTCGTTACTTTATTTTCCAGATCACCAGACTGGGCCACAGCAACGCGTGGCAGGGGACAGCTAGTGTCTTCTATTTACTATACCTCACATCATTTAAGCTTACTATTTGAATAAGCCTGGTTAGAAAATAAAGAGGGAGAGGGAGAGGGAGGGAGAGAAGCCAAGGGCCTCCCCTTTCCCCGCCCGTGGAAATCAAAACACAGATTTGCAGCAAGGTGCAGGTATTCTCTGACGCCTGATTGGACAAACAAGGCCAATCAGCTCTGAGGGGAAGGGAGGCCTCGCGCAGAAAGCAGCGAAGGGGGAGTTTGCGACGCGGCCTGAGCGCGAGACGGGGATTAAGGCGGGAGAAGGAAGCCGGGTCTCGCGCCCCCTCCCCCTCCCCTCCCCTCGGTGACAAAAGGTGAGAGGCGGCGGTGGGAACTTTGGCCGCGGCAACCTTCTGTTTGGGAACGCTGCGTACAATCGCTCCGCAGGCGCGTGCTTCCGGAAGGGAGGGGGGAGGAGGAGGAGGAGGACAACCAGAGAGGAAGGATGCCTGCCTGGGAGCGAGGAGGAAGGAGGTCTGGCTCTGAATTTCCCTCTGGGGTCGAAGTCTGGGAAGGAGGGACCTGCTCTGCTTCCTTTACTGGACAGAGAAGGCTTCTTCTGGGCTGGCTTCCCAAAGAGGAGGAAAATCTCTCTCCCTTTCCTCCCAAGAAATCCCCAAAGTCGCACAAAGTAGATTTCTTCTCAATTTGTATCCCTCATTTCCTCTCTCTCACACACAGTAAAGCCAAGGCAATTGAACACCTGAAAGAAATGTGCAAACATTGAAATCCAATGGAATATTAATAGGATGATTCAAAAATTAACTGTTAAAAGCCTTAGAACAGGCATGGAAGGGGAAGGCTTAGGGGAGGTTGGCATGAGTTTTATAGTGTTTTAGTGTATAAGTTATATTTTAATTCTGTTTTTGACACGCTGTTACTATTTTATTGTTTTGTAACTATTGTATTGCACTTTTAAAACTTTGTGGACTTTTAAAATGCAGGGAGAAAGGCGGGTATAATTACAGCTACTACTACTACTAATAATGGGCTGTTGTAGGTTTTTTCGGTCTATATGGCCATGTTCTAGAGCAGTGTTTCTCAACCTGGGGGTCGCGAAGGCGTGTCAGAGGGGTCGCCAAAGACCATCAGAAAACACGGTATTTTCTGTTGGTCATGGAGGTTCTGTGTGGGAACTTTGGCCCAATTCTATCATTGGTGGGGTTCAGAACACTCCTTGATTGTAGGTGAACTATAAATCCCAGTATCTACAACTCCCAAATGTCAAAGTCTATTTTCCCCAAACCCATCAGGGTTCACATTTGGGCATATTGAGTATCCGTGCCAAGTTTGGTCCAGATCCATCATTGTTTGAGCCCACAGTGCTCTCTGGATGTAGGCTAACTACAACTCCCAAACCCAAGGTCAATGCCCACCAAACCCTTCCAGTATTTTCTTTGATCATGGGAGTTCTCTGTGCCAACTTTGGTTCAATTCCATTGTTGGTGGGGTTCAGAATGCTCTTTGTTTACATGTTAACTATAAATCCCAGCAACTACAACTCCCAAATGACAAAATCAATTTCCCCGCCAACCCCACCAGTATTCAAATTTGGGCATACCGGGTATTTGTGCCAAATTTGCTCCAGTGAATGAAAATACATCCTGCAGATCATTATTTACATGGCGATTCATAATGTTAGGGTTATGGTTGGGGGTCACCACAACATGAGGAACTGTATTAAGGGGTCGTGGCATTAGGAAGGTTGAGAACCACTGTTCTAGAGATCTTATTCCAGACGTTTCACCTGCATCTATGGCAAGCATCCTCAGAGGTAGTGCGGTCTGTTGGAACTAGGAAAATGGGTTTATATATCTGTGGAATGACCAGGGTGGGACAAAGGACTCTTGTCTGCTGGAGCTAGGTGTGAATGTTTCAACTGACCACCTTGATTAGCATACAATGAGCTGACTGTGCCTGGAGCACATTCAAGATGTGACATATAGAGGTACAAGAAGGTACTTTCTTACACAGGATGTGTTGTGGTTAACTTCAAAGGTTGTAATAAAGTGCAGAGTCTGCATGTACAAGAAGGTACTTTCTTACACAGGATGTGTTGTGGTTAACTTCAAAGGTTGTAATAAAGTGCAGAGTCTGCCTGTACAAGAAGGTACTTTCTTACACAGGATGTGTTGTGGTTAACTTCAAAGGTTGTAGTAAAGTGCAGAGTCTGCATGTACAAGAAGGTACTTTACATCAAAAGGTCAAGGGAAAGGGGCTGGAAAGAAAGTCATAGTACCAGAATATATATACATGCATGTATATCAGGGGTCCTCAAACTAAGGCCCGGGGCTGGATACGGCCCTCCAAGGTCATTTACCCGGCCCTCACTCAGGGTCAACCTAAGTCTGAAACAATTTGAAAGCACGCAACAACAATCCTATCTCATCTAAAATAAATATAGAGAGATTCGCATGTGAGCTTTGCGGGATTGTGGCGCAGCTGGCTGAGTGTCAGCTGCATTAAGATCACTCTGACCAAAAGGTCATGAGTTCAAAGCCAGCCCGGGCTGGAGTGGGTGTCCAGCCATTGTGTAGCCCGTTGTCGACCTTTGCAACCCGAAAGACAGTTGCATCTGTCAAGTAGGAAAATAAGGTACCACCTTGTGTGGGAGGCTAAATTTAACTAATTTATGAGGCCATAAAGAAAGAAGACTCCGGGGAATGTGGAATGCGGAAGAACTTCATCGGTGTCGTTGATGGACGATGAAAAGCAGCAGCTCCCCTGGCGGCCAGAAAAAAGTTAAATAGCCTTCAGTGTATTTGTGTGTTAAATGTTGTTTGTCAAACTGGCATTGAATGTTTGCCATATATGTGTTGACTGTAATCCGCCTTGAGTCCCCTGCGGGGTGAGAAGGGCGGAATATAAGAACTGTAAATAAATAAATAAATAATAAATTATTGTATTGTTTTAAGTGATTTTTGCACTACAAATAAGATATGTGGTATGCATAGGAATTCATGTTTTTTTCAAATTATAATCCGTCCCTCCAACAGTTTGAGGAACTGTGACCTGGCCCTCTGTTTAAAAAGTTTGAGGACCCCTGTTCTAGAGCATAGTCTTGGTACCAGAATATATATACACACATACATACATACATGTATGTGGACTCTGACAACCCAGTTCAAAGCAGATGTTGTGGGATTTTCCGCCTTGATATTCTGGGATGTAGGGCTGTGTGGAAGGTCCCTGTGTGGAAGGGCCCTGGGTTGTATGGCTGTGTGGACTCAGATAGCCCAGGGTCCTTCCATACAGCCAGATAACTCAGAATATCAAGGCAGAAAATCCCACAATATCTGTTTTGAACTGGGTTACCCGAGTCCACACTGCCATATATTCCAGTTCAAAGCAGAAAATGTGGAATTTTATTCAGCTGTGTGGAAGGGGCCTGAGATTCCCACAATTCCAAACAGCTGGTAAGCTGGTTGGGATTTCTGAGAGTTGATGTCCAAAACACATGCCTATTAATTATTATTATTATTATTATTATTATTATTATTATTATTAGAAACACAACAAGATGAGTCTACGGCAGACAAGATCACTCTGCTGGCTGTTGTATTGGATCACAGGTCGGACACTTCCCAAGGAGCTCCCGGTAGCGCAGTGGGTTAAACCCCTGTGCTAGCAGAACTGAAGACCGACAAGTCACAGGTTCAAATCCGAGGAGAGCACTGATGAGCTCCCTCTGTCAGCTCCAGCTCCCCATGCGGGGACATGAGAGAAGCCTCCCACAAGGATGATAAAACATCAAAACATCTGGGCGTCCCCTGGGCAACGTCCTTGCAGACAGCCAATTCTCTCACACCAGAAGCGATGTGCAGTTTCTCAAATCGCTCCTGACTTGGCAAAAAAAAAAAAAAAAACTTCCCAAGTGTCTAGGACCATGTGATGTATCGGTGAATAATGTGTGCAGATCCCAGTAGGGTGACCTTCTGCAGCTGGCAGATGGTAATTTTGTCATCGCCGATTGTGTTTAAGTGCAGGCCAAGGTCTTTAGGCACTGCACCCAGTGTGCTGATCACCACTGGGATCACCTTGACTGGCTTGTGCCACAGTCTTTGCAGTTCGATCTTTAAATCCTATTACAGGATGAAGCAGCATAACTTCCTTTTTTAAAATGCGTGCCATTCGGTCGGTTGAAGACGTAGCGGAGCGCTAGTGGTCTCATTGGAGAGGCCGGAATATAAAGTTTTGTCCTCACACAGTTCAGTCGCCATCATGCGTTGGAACAGTGAGGAGCGTGCTTTTGCTTTTTCCTAGTTTCAATAGACCTCACTACCTCTGAGGATGCTTGCCTTATAGAGTAGGAAACTCCAAGCATCATGTCCCAAATGCACTTTACTAGAGATTTAAGATTGTCTGCACACGCACCTATCTCCAAAAACCTATCCATTTCACCTGTCATGTCCAGCATTTTTAAAATTTTTAATCATTACATTTGGCCCGGCCTTAGTTTTAAATGCGTCGTGGTGTTATTGTCTAATGTTTACTGCTAGTCTTTTAATGTTTATTGTTTTGTTTTTATGAGCTTATTTATTGTTGTATTTGTTATGCTGTTGTTTTATTGATGTGTTGGGCCTCGGCCTCTTGTAAGCAGCACCGAGTCCTTCGGGAGATGTTAGCGGGGTATAAATAAAGAATTATTATTATTATTATTAATAGTAACTCAAATATTGTTAAATGCAATATAATGAGATTTCAGCTTCCAAAATAACAATTTCTATGTTGTAGAACAGGGGGTCCACAAACCTTTTAAACAGAGGGCCGGGTCACAGTCCCTCAAACTGTTGGAGGGCCGGATTATAATTTGAAAAAAAAAAAACATAAATGAATTCCTATGCACACTGCACATATCTTATTTGTAGTGCAAAAAACACTTAAAACAATACAGTAATTAAAATGAAGAACAATTTTAACAAATATAAACTTATTAGTATTTCAATGGGAAGTGTGGGCCTGCTTTTGGCTGTTGAGATAGGATTGTTGTTGTTGTTGTGTGCTTTCAAGTCATTTCAGACTTAGGTTGACCCTGAGTGAGGGCCGGGTAAATGACCTTGGAGGGCCGTATCTGGCCCCCGGGCCTTAGTTTGAGGACCCCTGGTCTAAAGCACATATAATGTGGGATTTTCTGCCTTGATATTCTGGGATATAGGGCTGTGTGGAAGGGCCCCCAGTTCAAAGCAGATATTGTGAGATTTTCTGCTTTGATATTCTAGGTTACATTGCTCTGTGGAAGTGCCCAAATCCCAAAATCAAAGTTTGCCTTAGAAGATACAGCCACATTTCAAGCCCTTCTAGATGAAATCTTTCTAAACCGTGTGTTGTGACACCTTAGTGCGTTAGCTGCAGTGTGTGGCGGTGCTGTGCAAACCTAATGACTCCATGTGAACTAAACTTTAAATCACATATTTTAAAAAAGTAAAATGAAATATATTGCTACTTTGGGCATTTTGTTATTATATTATAGGTATGGACAGGCGGTCTCCAGGGGCCCTTTCACACAGCCACATAACCCAGAATATCAAGGTAGAAAATCCCGCAATATCTGCTTTGAATTGGGTTATCTGACTCCACACTGCCGTATTTCTAAGCAGAAAATGTGGGATTCCATACAAGTGTGTGGAAGGGCCTTGAGTCATAAACATCTGACTTACAAGCAACTCATAGCTAAGAATAGGGGTGAAACAACAGGAAGTGAGAGAAATATAATATAATATATAAAAACATAGAAGTGTCCTATGGAAAAATCTAAGGTACTGTTCCATTATCTAGGTGGAGGCCACTAGGAGGCAGTAGAGAGAAGGATGCTCCACTTTATGGGGGGGAGGGTGGTTGAAGAAGTCAAACCATTTCCTCCTGTTTTCCTGTTATTCCCCCCACCCATGTCGCCAGCGTGGTTATAAAATGGGAAAGGCAAGAGGGGGAATAACCAGCAAAAACTGGGAAAATGGTTTCCCTCCTTCAGCTCCCCCCATTGATAAAATGGACTATCCTCCTCTGTCTAGTCACTAGTGCCCCCTTTTGGCCTCCACTCAGATAATGGAATGGTGCCAAATATACATCCAATTTACACACAACCCAGAGTTAAGAACGAGGGTGAGACAATAGAAAGTGAGAGACATCTACCCACACTTGGAATATTGTGTCCAATTCTGGGCACCACAGTTGAAGAGAGATATTGACAAGCTGGAATGTGTCCAGAGGAGGGTGACTAAAATGATCAAGGGTCTGGAGAACAAGCCCTATGAGGAGCGGCTTAAGGAGCTGGGCATGTTTAGCCTGAAGAAGAGAAGGCTGAGAGGAGACATGATAGCCATATATA